CTACATTTTCGTGTCAATCCATGTTCATATTTACTGCAAAAAATGCACGGTTTAATTCAGCGCTTGCAGCGCAACAAAAATAGTCTGGGTGCGGAAACGATCTCTGCTCTGCTGCAGACGCACCGCTCCTGAACACACTGCCGGACCGCAACTGTGTGCAGTGTGCACGCGTTATTAATCTGTTAACATGAGCACGGAAAAAATACGCACCACATTCGCACTGCAAGCGGAGTAATGTGAACCTGGCATTATGTGTGTGCGCTGAGAGTGTGCATGAGCGCACGATCTCCAGGAGAGCGCGCGAGCGCTGAATGGTTAAACACTGGCAAGAATTAAAAAGTAATGCAATTTATAAACTTTAGTGACGATGTGACACTGCCTCGATTGTGCAAGTGACAAATCATGTGTCAACTGTGCAGCTCGCTTATAGACAGACGCGATGTGGTGATTTGAAGACATTTGCGTATTTTGCGGGAGAGCGCGCGCGGTGATTCACTCGCGCTGTTTGTGAAATTACAAAATTTTTTCAAAGTACTTTATAAGTTATTTAATGAAGAAATATGAAGATGAGTACCTCACCTTCAGTATTATAATGATTAACATCCCAACGTAATTATCGGCCAATAGTGATCGGTAGCTGATCAATCGGAGCACCCCTATAATGTGTCCATTACCTCGCATCATGTTTGGTTTCAGTCCTGCCTAAATTTGTATTAAAATTAATTTATCTAAATATTTAACATTTATTTTTATGATTATAATTATAATTTTTTTTAAATAAAATGAATATTCGTTTTCATAAAATGAACATTTAATATTAATTTACGGAATTTTTGTTGAGACCTACAGTAATGTGTCCATTACCCTGCATCACATTTGGTTTAAACTCTGTCTGTATTTTTATCAAAATGAATTTCTGTGAATATTTATATGAATATTTCATGTTTATTTGAATGAATATATTTTAAATAATATTAGTATTCACAAAATTAATATTTATGAATATTAATATAAATCACACATGAATATGAATATTAATTGTAAAATGATCTGTTGTCTCAACAGTCAGCTGAGGCGTATGAGTTTATCAAACGGGACCTGACAGAATTCTCCAGCGTGGTCCAACATGACACAGCATGCTCCGTTGTTGCGACAGCGAATGCCATTAAGACCAAACTGGCAGTAAGGAAACAACTTTACAACACACCAAAACAACACTTACCTTCTTACCTTGTTTAGTCAGTGTTTAGTCTTCAGCGCAAAAGCTAGACATAATATCTCTTTAGTTTACTTTATGTAGATGCAAACCCTAGCCACAAATGATAGTTTATAAGCTATTTTGTTTATTTAGGTTGAAAGTTCATCAGAGGCCACGGAAAAGGTGAAGAAGGGCATTTCGAATATTTTGGGTGTGATCACAGACACTTTGGTTCCTGCTCCAGACATGACCATTGACTGTGATGTCATCACGCTGGTAGCCACTCCGGCAGGCACAACAGAGGTGTATGACAGCAGCAAGGTCAGCCACATCCACATAGGTTAAAGAAATAATATATAAATAAATAATAGGTTAAAATAAATACTCATATATACAAACATATATATATTTATTGTATTTCCTGTCAGGCTCGATTCTACAGTCTTCAAGCAGACCCTGCTACATACTGCAATGAGCCTGATGGTATGCAAATCCTTCATGTTTTCTCAAAATTGGATGTGGGATTTTGAGTTTTAATGTGCATTCCATGTATTTCTCTCTTTTCAGGCCCTCCACAGCAGTTTGATGCCTGGTTATCCAGTTTCAAATTGGAAGAGAGGAAAGCTGAGATCTCTGAACTGCTGGTCAACAGTCCCGCCATAAGAGCTCTTTATACTAAAATGGTATGATGCAACCGTTAATTTACATCCTTACCGACCATGATTCATCTGTGTATGTAATTCCACAAAATAAAATAAATAATTTGCTTGTGTTCATGTCAGGTGCCAGCAGCAGTGGCTCATTCAGAGTTCTGGCAGCGGTACTTCTATAAAGTGTTCCAGCTGGAGCAGGTACAGCAGATCTTTGTCTAATACTGCCCCTTGAGCTGAAATCAGGCTTATGAGCTTATCTGAACACACACAGCTCAGATGCTCAAACAACATAATGATGTCAGTATGAGTCACAGGAAACTTACCAGCACAGCACAGCACTTCACTTTCTTTTGTTGAGGTTTCATTCTAGGTGTGGTATCAAGTACACATTCAGTTAGTTCAAGATTAACATGGTAGCTCCATCTGCTGGTCATGTATTTATATGCAGTCTTTAGGTGTAGGGCAGTGGTTCTGAACCTGTTTAAAGGAATAGTTCACAGAAAAATATATGAAAATATACTCACCCTCAGGCCAGCCAAGATGTAGATGAGTTTGTTTCTTCAATAATCCATAAACACCACTCCAGCCCATCAATTAAAGTCTTGTGAAGTGAAAAGCTGCATGTTTGTAAGAAGTAAGAAAATTACTAAAACGCTTTTAACTTCTAAACATAATTCATAATATTGCTTTCTTCAGTGAAAACATTGTCTTGTCTGAATCGGGAGAGAAATATGCACAGATCAAGCACCGTTTACAAGCCAAAACAATGCACAAAAAATAATCTGTTCTGATGAAGAAACAAACACATCTACATCTAGGATGGCCTGAGGGGTAAGCACATTTTCATTTTTTGGGTGAACTATTTATTTTATTGTTCAACACAGTAATCAAAAGCCCCCTATATAGGCCCTATTTATAATTTTGTGATTCCAGATGTTTTAAGAATTGTATGTTCTTCAATAAAGACAACAGTTGTTGTGTTGATTGCAGTTTACATTTTTTTTAAAGATTTTTGTTAGATTATTTTAATACATCATTTAATTACAAATAAATAAAGTTAATTCATTACAAATAATTTTATGTTACCCTAAAGACCACTGATTGGTCTGAAAATGCATCTATTCATCCAATGCATTGATTATAGGATTTAATAATGTATTATAATTTCTTTATTAATACCTAGTGTGTTACACATTTATTTCTCAGACAAAATACAACTCTTCACCATTTTCAGTTGTAAAAATCCACCACCAAATCTAGATCCAGAATTCCAGCACAGAAGCACTCAATGCGTTTTTGAAAATAATTATGAATCAAACCAAAGTAATGAAATCAAATGAAGGAACATTTTCTGTTTGTGACTTTGGAGTGATATTGTGTACAATGTACAGTGTTTGCTTGCTATGATAGTTCACTCAGAAATGAAAATTCTGTCATCATTTACACACCCTTATGTCGTTCTGTGTCTTTCTGTAAATCACAAAACTGGTCAGTAAAACAGTTCTGGGTCTATATGTTCTAGTAGGAGGATACCAATGAATATGTTTTGTGTTTTAATGAGTCTATGTAGTGGCATTTTAAGGGATTGTGCAGCTCCTTCTAATGTGACTATATTTATATACAGCCTCTTGTTTATCTCATTTATTTAAATTGTGTGTGCTTGTAGGAGGAGGCCAGGAGGGTAGCGCTAAAGCAGAGAGCAGAGCAGACGGATCATTCTGAGAGTCTTGGTTGGGAGGAAGAGGACGAAGAAGGTTTGACTGAAGTTTGCATCATTTAGTGCTATTTATTTGGATTTTTAAGTGTCAAGTATACTAACTAGTTTTACCTTGCTGTTTATTTGCCTTAATAGGCAGCTCACTGGGTTGCCTTCGTGTTCCTTCATCACCATATTTTTTCTCTCTCTCTTAGGTGAGTTTCTCGGGGCCACGTCTTCATCACGCTTAGATTTCACGCCACCTGTCGAAGAGGCATGTGTCCCTTCGGTAACGATAGAGGCCACACCTGAAAGCTCCTCACCCTCTCAAGTGGTGGTTTCCACCAGCAATGTAGCATCTGACATCACTCCCTCTGTAAGCAGCGACAGCGTCAGCTTCCCCACCCTGATCGGGAATCAAGCGGACTCCGTTACCATCAGAGTTACGCAGCCATCGCCCGCTGCAGACGAGGTCTCTCAGAAACTATCAGAGGCCAGTCTACAGGAGACATTCCCGGAGGAGCGACCCTCACAGCGCGAAGAGACCGCCAGAGAGGACGTAGCTCAAGACCTCCGAGTGTTTGAGCTCAACTCAGACAGCGGCAAATCTACACCCTCCAATAATGGCAAGAAAGGTGAGAGGAAACAGGAGAAGGGTTAAGGATGGGAATTATTAAAGTGCCCCTATTATGCCTTTTCGAATATTACCTTTCATGCAGTGTGTCATGTAACTGTATGTGAACATAAACTATCTGCAAAGTCGTGAAGCCGTAAATAAAGTTATTGTCTATCAAAAAAAAAACTTCATCAGAACAGATTTGGAGAAATTTAGCATTTCATCACTTGCTCACCAGGGGATCCTCTGCAGTGAATGGGTGCCGTCAGAATGAGAGTCCAAACAGCTGATAAGAACATCACAATAATCCATAAGTAATCCACACCACTCCAGCCCATCAATTAAAGTCTTGTGAAGTGAAAAGCTGCATGTTTGTAAGAAACAAATCCATTACTAAAACGCTTTTAACTTCTAAACATAATTCATAATATTGCTTTCTTCAGTGAAAACATTGTCTTGTCTGAATCGGGAGAGAAATATGCACAGATCAAGCACCGTTTACAAGCCAAAACAATGCACAAAAAATAATCTGTTCTGATGAAGAAACAAACACATCTACATCTAGGATGGCCTGAGGGGTAAGCACATTTTCATTTTTTGGGTGAACTATTTATTTTATTGTTCAACACAGTAATCAAAAGCCCCCTATATAGGCCCTATTTATAATTTTGTGATTCCAGATGTTTTAAGAATTGTATGTTCTTCAATAAAGACAACAGTTGTTGTGTTGATTGCAGTTTACATTTTTTTTAAAGATTTTTGTTAGATTATTTTAATACATCATTTAATTACAAATAAATAAAGTTAATTCATTACAAATAATTTTATGTTACCCTAAAGACCACTGATTGGTCTGAAAATGCATCTATTCATCCAATGCATTGATTATAGGATTTAATAATGTATTATAATTTCTTTATTAATACCTAGTGTGTTACACATTTATTTCTCAGACAAAATACAACTCTTCACCATTTTCAGTTGTAAAAATCCACCACCAAATCTAGATCCAGAATTCCAGCACAGAAGCACTCAATGCGTTTTTGAAAATAATTATGAATCAAACCAAAGTAATCAAATCAAATGAAGGAACATTTTCTGTTTGTGACTTTGGAGTGATATTGTGTACAATGTACAGTGTTTGCTTGCTATGATAGTTCACTCAGAAATGAAAATTCTGTCATCATTTACACACCCTTATGTCGTTCTGTGTCTTTCTGTAAATCACAAAACTGGTCAGTAAAACAGTTCTGGGTCTATATGTTCTAGTAGGAGGATACCAATGAATATGTTTTGTGTTTTAATGAGTCTATGTAGTGGCATTTTAAGGGATTGTGCAGCTCCTTCTAATGTGACTATATTTATATACAGCCTCTTGTTTATCTCATTTATTTAAATTGTGTGTGCTTGTAGGAGGAGGCCAGGAGGGTAGCGCTAAAGCAGAGAGCAGAGCAGACGGATCATTCTGAGAGTCTTGGTTGGGAGGAAGAGGACGAAGAAGGTTTGACTGAAGTTTGCATCATTTAGTGCTATTTATTTGGATTTTTAAGTGTCAAGTATACTAACTAGTTTTACCTTGCTGTTTATTTGCCTTAATAGGCAGCTCACTGGGTTGCCTTCGTGTTCCTTCATCACCATATTTTTTCTCTCTCTCTTAGGTGAGTTTCTCGGGGCCACGTCTTCATCACGCTTAGATTTCACGCCACCTGTCGAAGAGGCATGTGTCCCTTCGGTAACGATAGAGGCCACACCTGAAAGCTCCTCACCCTCTCAAGTGGTGGTTTCCACCAGCAATGTAGCATCTGACATCACTCCCTCTGTAAGCAGCGACAGCGTCAGCTTCCCCACCCTGATCGGGAATCAAGCGGACTCCGTTACCATCAGAGTTACGCAGCCATCGCCCGCTGCAGACGAGGTCTCTCAGAAACTATCAGAGGCCAGTCTACAGGAGACATTCCCGGAGGAGCGACCCTCACAGCGCGAAGAGACCGCCAGAGAGGACGTAGCTCAAGACCTCCGAGTGTTTGAGCTCAACTCAGACAGCGGCAAATCTACACCCTCCAATAATGGCAAGAAAGGTGAGAGGAAACAGGAGAAGGGTTAAGGATGGGAATTATTAAAGTGCCCCTATTATGCCTTTTCGAATATTACCTTTCATGCAGTGTGTCATGTAACTGTATGTGAACATAAACTAACTATCTACTTTAATCTTTTGAACAGTAGTGTATAATTTGATATGAATGAAGTATCAAATGCTGATGTTATATCTGCACTTTGTGTTTGTGCAAATGTAGGTTCGAGTACAGATGTAAGTGAAGACTGGGAGAAGGATTTTGATCTGGATATGACAGAAGAGGAGGTTCAGATGGCTTTGTCTAAAATAGACACAACAGAAGAGGTTTGTTCTGCACGACAGATAAAGAAGTAGAAATGGCAAAGAATTATGAAACGAGTTCAATTCAGTGATACGCAGCTCTGCTGAAGACAGCGGTGTTGATATTTATCTCAAGTTGGATCAGTGTTCAATAAGGGTCAATGTTGCAAAATTCATCAATTATGAAGAAACTAGAAGCAGTTCTACAGAAGACAATAGTGTCATTAATCAGCTCGATTCAGTTCAAGTTTGGTTCGCAGTAAATGCTGCAAGCGTTGTGAGTTTAAGCTGCTTATAACTTAATAACAATATTGTTATTAATATTATATTCTATCGTTTTAGATTTTTGAAAATATATTTTTTATTTGATATTGATACTGTGTTATTACAATAGTAATATTTCTTATTTTAATATTTTTATTTAGTAATAAAAATAATCATTATAATTAGTCATATCAAAGTAAGCACAACATTTGTCAAAATTGTGCCAAATTGTGCAGCCCTAAAAAAAAAAGACATTTTAAATCACAACTGCAATTTTAAACAGAAAAATCGCAATTAGATTTTTTGCCCAAATCATGCAGCCATAGATGTTACTTAAAGGGGTCATATGATGCTGCTAAAAAGAACATTATTCGTGAAGCCGTAAATAAAGTTATTGTCTATCAAAAAAAAAAAGTCGTCAGGAATTAAAATCTTATTCTGTTAACGGCTCTACGTCACGAAGTAACACATTTGCATAATGTCTGCCCACGTTCTACGTCGCCAACTTGCACGCCCACAAACAGTAAAATTTCCTTGTGGTTAACATCATGTCGAAAAGACACTGTATCCTACGCTGTGAGAGTAAATTTGTTTTATCACATCTTATAATTACCACAAACTTGTTAACACTTGACACACTTACCACTGAGAAACTTCCTGCTCCAGTCGTGCTTGCGAATCAGTCTCTTGTCGATCAGCCACTTCACC